CCCCGCCCCAATCTTCCTTCCATCCTGAATATCTTCTCCCCTGGCCCAGCTTTTGAGCAAAACAGGAACCTGCGAGTAAATTAATCCTGTAAGCAAAACCACAAGCAAAGGGAAAAGCTCTAGAACCTTCACACTGTAAAATAGTGGTTGACACAGAATGAAGTTACTAGACCTCATGAACTTCCGGATTGGAGATTGTGAGAATGGGGGCTCTTGGAATAAGGCCTGGGCACTGGAATCTTTTGGTGCTACGTTAGTTCAGCTTTGACTTCTGTTCCCCGGTGCACAATTACTAGCACCTTTTTCGTAGAGTTTCACATTAATTTCCTCAACAAAAAAAAACGAGAAGGGGTTGCATGATGGGGGGGGATTATAAAGGAGGGGAAGTCTAAGGGTGCATAAAACAGACCCCAGCATTTCAGTTTTTATCATATCTTTTCCTGCCAAGGAGACCCCCCAGAATGAGGATCAAGCACCCGAAACAGGGTGAGTTTGACCCTGAAGCTGGGTCCAAGGCCAAACCCCAGAGATCTTCAAAAGACGAACTTTGACTGTTCCTCTGCAGAAGAGCACGGCTTTTCCCCACCAAAGATTTTTCACTGTCAAGGCGTGATCAGCCGCCGAGGAATTTTTCTTCTTCTTGGCATCCTTTGAAGCGGTTTAAAAAAAAAGAAAAAGAAAGCAACAGAAAGGGGAAAAGAATTGCATTTCCTCTCGCTGCTTTGCCAGCAAACTCTTGGCAGGCCTTCCCAAAAGGGAGTTGATTTCCTGCTTCGGCATATCATTAGTGCTGAGCCGAGCCGTGCCTGAACATTTCGGCAGCGGGAGCTCGGAGGCCAAAGAGCGGCTTGGTCTGGCGGTCCCCAAACCTGTGGATCCCTGGTAGCGTGGTGCCCTCGGTTGCTTTGCTCCATCGTCCTCTGCTCCTCCGGAAAGGGACCAAGGCTGGATTGGAGAACGGCCGAACTGAACCGCCTGCATCTCCCACGTCCCGCCGCAGAACGACACAGCCCGGCAGAGATCAGCTTTCCCCGTCCCTTGCCTCTGGACACTGGCTAAGGGGGGTCAAAGAGGAGCAGGGCTCGGCGGGGACCGTCTGGACAGCCTGGAGATGGCCCTCTGGCACTTCGCCGTGCTGCTTCTGGTCTCTGGCACCGCACCGACGACAGCCAGTAAGTGCCTTCTCGCCCAGGAGGGAGGTTGGGAAAGAGAAATGCTGAACGTTTTCGCAGGGGGGGACCTCGGTTCAAGGGGGTCTGCCCTGCTCTCCAATCTGGGGGAGCAAATTTGGGGGTTGGCGCCGATCAGACGACTGGCGTGCGAAAGACGCTGTAGCCCAACTGGATGTCCCAGCGGTTAAGGGGAAGACGTGGAAATCTTAACTCTGCCAAAGGTGAGGATATGGAAGTGGCCCGCTGGACAGCTTAAAGTGGGGATGATGGGCTTGTAATCTACGTCTTTTGAAGGGGGCAGGGGGCAGGTTGATCTGGTCTTCGGTAGATCTTAACCTCTGTTCCGGGGTCTGGATTCAAGAGGGGTGAAATGCACCGCAAGGAGCAGAACAGTCTAGTTCCTCTCCGACCAGAAATGAGAACTATGGGAGGTTCTCCCCTTCCTTCTGTTCCTTCAAGTCCTTTCCTACCTTCTCAGCCTCACCGATTTCAGCAGGCTGGATGGTTTTGCTCCAGAGAAGGTCTCCGTATCTTCCCCTACATGGAAGCATTGAGCCGGGAAGGTGGACGGGGGAAGACCACAAGGTGGGGTTTGTCTCACACTTGCAACCTTGCTCTGAGTTGCGATCAGTTGAAGGTGATGGTTGCCAGCTCCAGGTGGGAGACGGGCAATGCTGTGCTCCAGGTAGAGAACTCAACTCTCTTCCAGCCTCTTTTACAATGATCCGGTGATCCAAAACAATGAGGAATGCTCTTAGCTAAGACAAGTGAAAACACACACAGACACACACACACACACAAGCCTAAAACGTTATGTTCAGCCAGTTGGCTCTGTCGTCCTCCGTTTCCTTTAGTCATGTTGAATGGCAAAGCCTGAAGCTTCCATGGGGCCACAATGCTCATTGGCAGAACAGATGCCCCCCCCCCGGACCTTCCTTTTGCACACCCAAGAAGGAGCGATGAATGAAGTGGCACTTTTTGGTGGCCAAAAGGTGCTTTGGTGGCCAAAAACACAACCCAACTGATCTGCCGAGAGTCAGCATTGCTTCTCTTCTCAAATAACGTCACCATGAAATCACTCCAAAATCAAACTAAGCCGCATTTCTGGAATTGGACTTTCTCTCCGATTGCGCCAAAGGGTGGCTTCTTTCAGCTAGGGGCGTAAGGAATTCTACACATGCTCTGAAGTGCTCTTGTCTTTGGTGTTTCTGCGCTGTTGGTACCAAACTGTTCTTGCCTGATTGGCCGTCGACTAAAGACGGTTAAAGTATTAAAGTATGAATACTTTAATTAAAGGTTAAAGCTAAAGTATTCATTTCACGGCTATTTATGTACTGATTCATTTACTCCACATTTAACCCTCCTTTCTATTCAGGGTAGCGAAGCTTTAAAAATCCTCCAAATTAAAACAGATTAAAATGGATCTAAAATTCGTAGGACTGAAGCTAGTGTTAACCTACAGTATCAGGAAGTCAATTCTCAATGTGGATATTTAGGCAGAAGGTAAATATAATGCTTTATCAATACCTGATCATTGGCCGATCACCTCCAGGAAACAGGAAATTCCTCCTCTAATGTGGTATGTGAATCTAATCTTGATCCAGCTTTCCTTCACTCGATTATCTGTTTTAATTGGTCTCTGAGCATACTAAATTATTCATTTATGTCCAGAAAGAAATATCAGAAATTCTTTCCATCCCAGATCATATGAAGTGATGAAGTTTGCGTTCCCGTGATACCAGGTTGATTTCTTTGTGCTGGCTTAACACGATGTGAATAAAAAAATGGTTATTTTTAAGCAGTCACGCTGGTTTCTTCTTGGTTTCTGATTGAACTCTGGCTTAATGTGAAATTGGACTTTAACGTCTCAGTTTTGCAAGCAGAGAATTCCTGCCAATTCGGGACGGTCCTCCATAACATATGTTTGTTTGTTAAAAAAGCCAATCAATTAGAAATATTTATTTTATTGATTGATGAGAAGTATTTCCAAATCACCTGTAAAGAGCCCCGAAGTGGTTTAGGGGTCCTGTAAAAGCGAATTGTTCAAAGCAGAATTTAAAACGCGCTCCCACGAAGAAAGATCTTACAGGGATCTTAGCACGAGGGAACGCCAGCTCTAAAAGGTGGGCTTTTGAAAGATGGATGAAACATGTCAGCGGCTGGAATTGGAAAAGGGAACAATTTTGCACTGGGCCAGTTAAGCCAAAAGCTGCTTGGAAGTCATGGGTGCCGAATTACTTCTCCGATCAGCACCACCCAGTCCCTCCCACCCTAGCTGGAAACTTCTTAGATCATTTTTGGTTACTGGAAATTATGATGGTAAGAGACCATTTAGGAAAGATGTAATACGCTTTCTTCAAAAAGAAAATACTGGAGGGCAACTTGCTATGGAGAAGGAGAAGAATCTGGTCAATCTGGAAATGTTTAACACCCCTTTAAGGTAGAACAGCAACAAGACTGCTGTTCCCCTATGATGCACGGGTGACTTGAGGCTGAGAAAACCTGAAAAGGGAACTTCCCTAGCTGACAAATTCAGTTCACTGTTAGATGACTGTGCTAAATCTCCATGTCTACCCACTCACCCTTAAAAAAAAAAAGGAAAAGAAATTGAAAATATGACTCTAATGTCTTTGGAGACCATGATGGACTCAAGCTGTGGGCTTTGGTGAGTGCAAATGCAAACTTGTGGGGGAGAAGAAGAGGAGAAAAATGGTTCTCACAGGAAATGCCATTTAAAATGATTTGGAGGGAAGCAGAGAGAAGGAGAAGGACTCCTGATGAAGGGGAAGACAAAAGCTCAAAATTGCTGTTCTATTTTTATCCCCTTTTGTTCGCATTCTGATCCCCAACATCTGGAGGAGAGGAAGAAAGAAAGTGGAACAAAGAGAAAGTTGCAAATATTTAAAAAAAAAACTTGGTGGGGGATTAACCATGCCTTGCAAGAATGAGACTAAACTCTTCTGGGAGGTTGAGTGGAAGAATGCAAGGAGGCATCCCTTTTTGCTTCCATCCACAACAAGGTTTTCATTTATGCTTTGGATGAAGAAGTGGAAGAAACGCTTATCAGGCTGTCAGAAAACGCAAAAGGGGGAAGGATGGTTCACATTTGCAGAACATTCAGAAGGATCACAGTGGGTGGGGGAAACACAGTGGAATTCCACAAACGTAATTCTTCACGGAGAAATAAAGGCCCTGCAATGGGATGGGGGAATATCTGGCATGGCAGGAATTCTTATAAAAAGGATGCTGAATCCCAGTGAGCCAGAGGTGTGAGGTGGCTGCGAACGGGGCAAATGCAATTTTCGGTGGCATTAACAGAAATGCAAGATGATTCGCAAATCAGGAGAAGGTGTCATTCCTCCGTATTTTGCCCGGGTCGGACCTCACCCGGGTCCCCTTTTGGTCCTGTGTTTTCAGAAGAATTCAAAGAAAAAAGAAGAGGTTATGAGAAAGGTAATGAGGATGATCAGGGGGCTAGAAAGTAAATCTGAACAGCAAAGAGAAAGGAAATGTGGCATTTTAGAGCTGAGAAGATCAAGGAAGGCCACTCCCAGGCTTCTGAACAAGTATAGAAACTGCAAAAAGGCAAATTCTGGTTGAATGTGGGGGAAAGGGTCCCCACGGAGGCAGTGGCAAGGGGAGCGAAGACCCTGAGTGAAGGTGTGCTCCATTCGTGGTCTGCATTGAAGCACGACTGCAGCCCTCTGTCCGGGACGCTTTAATTTCGGTTCCTACAGTGAAAAGAGGATTGGACTCCCAGAGCCCCTCTGGCTCCTTCCAATTTGACAGTTTTGCATCCTGTAATTACGCTCACCCACTTTACACGTTGTAGGAGGAGAGCTGCCAAAAGTCTGAAGGTCCAGTTAGTTAGTTAGTTAGTTAGTTAGTCTAGGTTCCAGACTAACAAATCTGGTTCAAAGGCACAAGCTTTCATGAACTCAGTTCACAAAACTCCATCTGCCTTTGGATCAGATTTGTTAGTCTGGAAAGGGGCCATTCGGTGCCTTCTGATTTGGGGCAACCCTTTTGCAGGACCACAGAGACACAGAAAGGAAAAAGGAAAAGTCCTGGGCCTGGCCTGGCCTGGCCTGGCATGGCATGGCATGGTGCTATCCAGGTCAGGCCAAGTTGGATTAAGCATAAAATAGATAGTGTGTGTGTGTGTGTGCGTGCACACAAAATAAGAAGAGGTCAGTAATTTCAGTTTAGTGCAGTGGATAGATGATAGATAAAGAAGATAGATGATAGATAGACGGACGGACGGACAGATGGACGGATGGATGGATAGATGGATGGATGGTTGATGGAAGAATGGAAGAATGTCATTCAGAAAATTTCCAACCTGGGAAGGGAGAGACATATTTTTCCTGACAATCCTTTTGCGTCTTGCTATTTAAAGGCGTTAGCAGCCTCCTCTTCCCTGATTATACCTTTGTCACTCTAATGGTCGTTACTATGACCATTTCACTTCAAGAGCGGAGTGATGCACAAACCAGGTGCTGGGGAACATCAGCCATTAAGAAACCGCAGCGTAGTTTGTCCATAGCCAGACCCGTGGACCGAATGAGTCCCCTGGGCCACTGTGTGCCGCGCGAAACCGGAGTCGCCAGGCTCCCCGGATCAGGCTTTGCAGCGTCCTCTGGAAAAAGGCGGAGGAAACCTTGGTGTGTGTCTCCTACTCAATTTGGGGGTTCAACGAGTGGCCTTCTCCGGCCGTCACAAACCGCACCCCAAGATAACAGCTCTGGTGGGTCTCCTGCACGTGGGAACTTTTCTTTCCTCGCCCCCTTGATTAACCTCCCTCCGGCGAGGTCGGACGGTGCCACCCGCCGCGGAAAACAGTCTCGGTTCATGTTGCCCGTGCCGCCAGGCTGATCTAATCTGGGCCCGACTCACACAGAGCTCTTTGGCGCCTGGGGAATAACATAAACAGATACTTGTCTGCGGAGTCCTGTGCAGCCAGGAGGTTTTTTTCACTGTCTTGTCCCGGCGGTATTTTTCTAGACGGGCTGCTGTGTGGGGTAGGGCTTCGAAAGGGGAAGGGTGACGCAGGCTGCGGAGGCTAGATAAGTCAGTGTTTGTCTTCCTTCTGATGCTGCGGGGCTGCGGGGCTGGCCTAGGTTGGTCCTCGAAGGAAGTCCAGGACAATGGCCGAGTAGAGAACTCAGCGCCAGGCGAGGCAGGGGCAGAGAAATTAGTTTGGGCATCCTGCTGGAACCTATTCATCATCTTCTTCGGTGCATCTGGGACTCGGGTTCAAATATCTCCTCGTGGATGCAGATTCTGGCCCGATGAGCTTGCTTCCAGTCTGCCCTAGCCGGCAGGAGCAGGCAGCCTTCCCTCTCACAAAATCACATTTTGTTATTCCAAGCCAGCCTGCTCCGTATCCAAACCTTAGGTTCAATTTCACGGCCTCGAAGTCTTCATGAATTCAATATTGGTTTGTGATTTTAACTGGGGGGACATTTCTATTTTTTTTATTGTTTTTAATGTCTTGGTTTTTAATCGGGAGCCATCCAGAGACACCCTCTGGGGGAGACGGGCGGCATATAAATTTAATAAATAAATAAAATAAATAAATAAATAAAATGTCTTCCTTTAAAAAACTGAAGGACCTGATTAAAGGTTCGGGGAGCAACGAATGAATGAAGTGAACAGATTCATTGCTCCCCCAGCGCTCAATCATTTTCTTCGAGTTTCCAAAATTGCACGCCTGGGGAAATCTGAGGAAAGGCTGGGCCGAAGGTTTTGCGCACCCTTGCTTTACGACAACCTTGCGAGGGAGGTGAGCTGAAAATTAACTGCTCAGCGAACTTCCTAGCTGTACTTGCTAAGTCACCAGCTCTCACCGCTCTTTAACACTGTTGCCAAATAACGCTTTTACTCCAATGTCACACTGGATCCCAACACTTTCCCTGCTGGCATTTAGAAGCTTTGCACAAACTCTGCTGCTTTTGGTGCAAACGAGTTCTGGAAAAGCTTTGGGTTTTTAGAATTATTATCTGTACAATCTCTTTGGAATCACTTTTCCCCTTTAGCGGTGAAACGGTAGACAAATATTTTAACAATGCAGGAGAAAAAGACAACACTCCCTGTTGAATGGCACAAAATCTAGAATTTAGCAGAAAGATGCAGATGTTCTGCATCTGGAACAATCAAAGAAACAAACAGGAACAATCAGGGGTGAAGGGTCTGTTAGAAGTCATCTAACCCCAAAACTCTGCAAAAAGATCCATAAATCAGTCTGCTGAAGGATTTGGGACAGGCTATCTTTCCTTCAACCACCCAAGCATCTTCTCTAATGATCACCCCAAATCAGTCCAATTGAGAGTGAGTTCCACCGTTGCACCCAAGATTGACAGAAAAGGTAGATTTTAAGGCCACAGTGGGAAGCATGAAATCCTGCAGGAGGGGGGGGGGGGGCAGCTGAAGACAATAACCTTTATTTCTTGCATCCAACCTGGTTGGCTTGTCAGCTCCCCACAGTAATAATGTATTTTCCAGGAATATTTTTGGGGTTGAATGAAGTCAGGATGACGGTGGGAGCATCGCTGTTTCTCTGTTAGCATCATCCAGATAAAGTCCCACCAGATTCCCGTCTGGAGATCATTTAAATCACAGCTTTCTGATTTCCTTCTCTCGCCTGCTTCGGACCTTCTCCCCAACTGCTGATTTGAGTCTGGGGGCTCAGAATTGGAGAAAGGGAAATTCCCTGTTTCGGTTGTTTTATCTGAGGCATCATGTGCTTCTCGGCAGGAATGAATCACAAGAGGAAGTTGTATTCAATCTGAACCTCATTCCATTCATGTGACAATGGAGAGGAAGTTTGGAAATCGATGTTGTTTTGAATCCGGCAGATAATGTCATCCCACTTTTTTGGAATAATGGACGTTTTCAGAGGTGTACATGAATGGTCTGAGGTTGAGATCCCATTGATGTTGAGATTGGCAAAAGAAGGAACCCACATTAGCCCAACTGCGTGGCAAACTCCTCTGTTAAATCTTTAACAGAAATCATCTGCTAAGAGATGGGGGTTTTGCATATTTAGGCAGAGAGGCATTTCTAAACCCAATGGACCTTCTAGCAAGTGTGGGGGGAGGATCCTGTGTGTTAATCTTGTGTTTTGTCCACAGATGCTTTCAGCCTGCATTCATGGCTTCTCAGTGCCATCCTGGCACTGTTTGGACCTCAGGTTTAGGCCCTAAAGATGCCATGCTAGAGGCAGCTTGGGCAAAGAAGGACAGTGGTCAAGGGGGGAATGTCAACTTGGGTGTCTCCTGTCCTAGCCCAACACTGGAACCACAACACCATCATGGCCAAAGAAGCTGATTGAGAGATTCTTCCCTTCCTAGGTATGTTGAATTCTCTGGGATGTGCTCCTGAGCCCACCAGCAAAGACCAGGCAGTCAGGGTCTTCTACACAACCAGCATGGTGCCCAGTGGTTGCGAGGCCCGTGGTCCGACCAATCCCAACCTAGAGGTCCATGTTCTGAACCTGAGATACAGCAGATCCCAGGTGAGTAGCTGATCAGGCAAGGATGCGACCAGTGGGGCCCATTTCAGACCCCCAATTTCAGGAGAATCACTGATATATTTGGGAGTTTCATTCTCACTTTCAGGATTGCTTTCAATGGGCCTGCTCTTTGTATTTACAGGGAGTCCTCATTTAGCGACCACAATTGGGACTGGCAACTTGGTCGTTGAGTGAAGCGGTTGCTGTGAAACTGCGACCATGCCCATGATCTTACTTCAGCTTTCCTTTGCTTTACAGACCTGCAAAGGTCGTAAATGCGAGGATTGGTCACAAAGCTCCTTTTTCATCACCATCATAACTGAGAACGGTCACTAAATGAGGCAGTTGTTAAACGAGGCCGACCTGTATTGGTTTCTGCATGCAAGCCGTTGCTGGTGGGGTGGCTATTTTTCATTTCAATTTCCTTCAATACAGGCTTTGTCTTCTTCGTGAATTTGGATTACTCTAAAACTTATCATGTATAAAATGTTTGTTGCTTTCTATGCTGGTTTTTCTCCCCTTTTTGTTGTGTTCACACCTCAGATCTTTTTTAACAACAGTGTGTGGATTCTACCACAGTAGCTTAGCTAAGCCACAAACCACACTTTGCCAACCACAACTGGCACATCGCAAGAGCCAGTTCACATATCTCATAAAGGCGAAAAGGGAAGGAGGCCCTCGGTGAACTGAAGGGTGCCCTCTCCCCTCCCTTCTTTCTGCCGTCCTTGCGGTCTGAAGCACACGGCCACCGGCGGTGAAATTTACACGCCTTTGGTTTTCGTTTTCGGAGAACAGGAATCTTGTAAATTTTCCTCTGCAGCTGTTTGCCCTTTTAACAGAGGGAGGGAAGGAAGCCCTGTGCATACGTGGGCACGCTGCTTTGGAAAACACAACCAACACAGTCATGGGTTTTCCATGCCAACTTTTTAAATCAAGGCGTAGGAAGGTCAGGAGCCCTCCAAATTCCTTTCAGCGCTGAAACTGGCTAACACGGAGGTCCCTGTGGCATCACGATGGGGGCTTGAACAATAATGCGCTCTCCTCCAGATGCTACCCCCGTTCTTCCTTCCTTTTATCAATGCAATTTCTTTTTTAAGCCAAAAAGGACCCCAGGTAACATCCCCCAGTTCACTGGTGTATTATTTCCGAGTCTGTCAGACAGGGCAAGGAAGGAACTGAATTTGCTTTAGCAGTTCACAGCCTGGCACGGAGATTGACAAGCCGGCGACTGGCAAAGAATTTGGGGTTACAGCTCCAGCGAGGTCCATTTAGAGCTTGAAGATGCCCCCTGCGCTTTTAACTTCAGAAGAGCTCCTACTAAACTCATTGGGAGTGACTTCTGAGTAGGCCTGGATAGGTTTGGGCCGCGGATCCCTTTTTGCTGGGGAACGGTGATTCTTCTGCCCTCTGTGACATCACAGAGGATCGGCCAATGAGATCGAGAAAGCGATTTGATTGGAGGCTGGAAAGCAGAGAGGGGCGTCCGGGCTCCGAAAGAGAGACCCAGCAAGGCCCTGTGTCTTGATCGGCCTCTTGGTCCGTAGCTCGTGACTCCCAACGTTCATATGATAATTGACCATAGTTTGCTTCTCGATCTGAGTTGCTGCCGGGGGGGGGGGCACAATAAATGTCCGTTTGTCCACTGATCTTCTCACGCTTGTGGCTCCCAGCTCCTCCAATGCTCCTTGAGGATCCTGCAGTTTATGAACGTGTCTGCCTTCCAATGAAATTCGCCAGGGGATCAAGGTTGCAGCAGGCTCCTTGTTTGCAACCCCAGACGAACGGGGTTCTCCTCCTGCCACACACCCACACCCAAGCCAAGCAAAAATAGAACTCGTTTGAGAGGTGGCTATGGCTGGGGCAATCTCGCCGTTGTCCCAATCTTGTCGCGCATCAGCCGCAGGGGCCGTCCGGCGGTCCAGAAGTAGCCTGATTATGATGCTCAGGAAGTCGAGTGGGCTGGGGGTAAATAGGAGGGAGATTAAAGTCCCCTCCAGTGCTTATTGGGGAAAGAGATGCAAGGGGGGGGGGAGAGAGGGTGTGCAGGGAGGCCACTCTGATGTCACGGCTGTGGCATTCAGACAACTGGCCCCAACTCAGTGGCGGGGAGAGAAACCAGTCTCCAACTTGAAAAGAATTACTGGAAGCCGATTTCTATAAGCAGATCTCCAAACTCAAGGGGGCAGAAGAAATCTTGCTGTGTTCTTTAAGGGAGAAACAATGGCTTCTGAAAGGGGGGGCAGGTGGGGAGGTAAAAATAGAAGCAGCCCTTCCCCACACGCCTTTTGACCCCTCTGCTTGTGCTCTGTTTGGGAGCTGAATACGTTCGGCGGGGCCGCCTCTGTTATTTTTTCGGTTTGGTTTTGTTTGCCTCGCGCTGGATTTGGGGCACGGCTGTGCAAGGGTTCCTATTCCTCACCCTCCTTTCCCCATCCTTTCTGAGTTTTGCAAGAATGATACGGCAGGCGAGGGCCGGGAGGTCACTGGAGTCCAAGCGGAGAGGCGCCATCGAACGACACCGTCTCGCTGCACAGACAGCGATCGAGTTTTCAATAAGGCGGCCGGTTTCAGACCGATCCCCGGATGGGGACGGGAGGAGAGAGACTTGGCTGAGCGCCCTTCTCGGCAGACACCTCTTTCTTGCAGGCAGAAAAGCGTCCTGCCACCGGGAAAATAGGCTGATGGGCTGGGAGCCAGCCTCGGCCATCCCCCTTCCAGCCGTATTGCCGGATCCTTTTAAAGTTTTTCCACCTCCTTTTTAAAACCATCTCAACTCACAACGTGCGGCACCAAATTCAGGAGCTGAACTCCGTCTCGTCTAAAGCAGTCCTCCCTTTTATCAGCCCCCCCATTTTTAGCTTCTGGGAAAGACCCCCGAATTCTAACTTCCTTCCTTGCTTCCTTGCATCCATGTTCTCCAACCCAGGCATGGTTTTATCTACTTCTCTCACTCCTCTAAAAAGATGATTGATAGATAGATAGATAGATAGATAGATAGATAGATAGATAGATAGATAGGTAGGTAGGTAGGTAGGAAGGAAGGAAGGAAGGTAGGTATAGATAGGGAGGTAGGTAGGTAGGTAGGGAGGAAGGAAGGAAGGAAGGAACGAAGGAAGGTAGGTATAGATAGGGAGGTAGGTAGGTAGGTAGGGAGGAAGGAAGGAAGGAAGGAACGAAGGAAGGTAGGTATAGATAGGGAGGTAGGTAGGTAGGTAGGGAGGAAGGAAGGAAGGAAGGAACGAAGGAAGGTAGGTATAGATAGGGAGGTAGGTAGGTAGGTAGGGAGGAAGGAAGGAAGGAAGGAACGAAGGAAGGTAGGTATAGATAGGGAGGTAGGTAGGTAGGTAGGGAGGAAGGAAGGAAGGAAGGAAGGAAGGAAGGAAGGAAGGAAGGAAGGAAGGAAGGTAGGTATAGATAGGTAGGTAGG